AAAGAGAGTGTGACTGGCCAGAAGTCACCTACTGACATTCATGGTTAAGAGGGGATTATAACTCAGTCTCCTGGTGATTGACCCAAAGTCACCCAGCTGGCTTTCATGCCTGCTATCTTAACCACTTGTTCTAACTGAGGCTTCCAAAGAGCATGAAGCAAACTCCTGGTCCCGTAAAAAAAACCCCTTTTATTACTTTGCTGTGAATTCTGCTCATTCGCATCCCGCAAAGTCTTTCCAGGGAGGATTTACTTGTTGCTGACAGAGCAAATACAGTTTGTTTCCAAACAGCCCTCAACTCTCTCACACACTGACAGGACGCTGACAAGCCAGATGAATACCATGGATGCTGGCAGGCAGAGGCAGAATTTTTTTTTTTCTTATTTTCCTCCCCAAAAACTACGGTGCGTCTTACAGTCCGAAAAATACGGTAAATCGAGTCGATTTAAATCAAGCCTTTTTAACAGTGATTTCAAATCAACTTGATTTCAATCAAATCCACCCTGCAGACACCAAAAATGACTTTAAGTGAGCCTGCTGTTCAGCTTGTTCTCTTTTCCTTTTCAGAGCATCTGGCCTCTTTTGGTGGAAAGCAACCTCTGCCCGAAGGCCGTGGTCGCTGTGTTGCATCACTTTGTCCAGGAGGCCCAGAACAGGAAGGCCAACACACAACAACGCCTGTTTGCCCTCCACGCGGCTGGATTGTATTTTTTGTTAGTTGAAATTCCTGGTAGGTCCGTGGACCGTTTTGTGTTGTGTGGTGCTTCGACCCACGTTTGGCCTGGACATCTCGACAAGTTCGCATTGAAACGTAGCTCCATGGATGGTCGCAGTACCTCCGTTCTGTGAGGGTTAGGAATGAACTTCAAGCAGTGCACCGTGGCAGCACGTACAGGGATGGGGTTTCTCCTCCCTCTCTTCTGGGCTGTCCTCAGGACCCACAAATCTGATTTAGGCCAGGGATTCTCAATCTGCTTTAGGTTTAGGCCAACATTTCCCAACCTTAGCAACTTGGAAGATGTGTTGATTCCCGACAAGTTGCTCAGGGTGACAAACATTGGATTTAGATCCATGTGGAGTGTGTAGGCCAGTCTTAGAAAAGCGAAATCTGACTAGCAATGTGTGAACTTTATAAAACTTCCTTAAGTCATACATTCACTAGGATTAGAAGCGAAGAACAAACTCAGCCCTGTAAGGCAGAGAGAGACTGTAGCAAGGATAACAACGGTGTTGTAACACTATCACACCAAGGGAAAGTTGTACTCAGATTCCCATTAATTTATAGCCAATCATCTCGTCTCATGCTCAATTACCAAACTGTTCTGACCGAGGCTTCCCAAGAGCATGAAACAAACTCCTGGTCCCGACAAAAACCCCTTTTATTAATTGACTGTG